CTATTCCGAGCAACGTTTTTTTCTCAGAAACACTTGTAAAAACAAGTTACTGATCCAAAACAACAATCTCCCTTAACACGTCCATTAGATGACGTGCGTCTTTCATAACACTGATGAAAAATGTGCTGTGGGTCAGTGACATATTCTGCTGAGAGCCTGCCTAACAATTATGACCATTCTGAACCACACATTAGAATCGTAAGGAATTAGCGGTTTAAGCACACTAAGAGGTTTACACACACTAATATACATACAACGTAGGCCTACACTTATATAACTATAGAATGTTAATCTCCCATGTGATTTTATGATAACGTGGATTTAACCAATTGGCAAACATTGGCTGAAAATTGTCTCACTATGATTACAGCAGTGTTATTTTACCTACGGAAGATCTGTTAAAACAATCACTTTGAGTGAGATGTAGCGCATTATTGAACCATTCCCAGTAGAGTGCCAAAGGGAATTAGCATATTTAAAAGATAATTCTTTAAAATGAAAATGACCATTTAGAAAACAGACAAGCCTTTCCCACAGAAAAAAAAGTCACCTGTCCCATGTGTGCAAAGTCAAATAAATTGAGCATTTAAACCGTCGAATTTACTGTCTTCACTCCCGTTATAACGATTGTGCAGGTGTATTTGTATTGTCACAAAACAACTTTGTTTTGGTTGTCAAAAATTATCCGAAAGAAAAGAAAAAAACGTAGCCCACTGCAAGCCTGCATTGGCAGCCACATGGTCAAATCGTGTCCCGCACAGCAGGCTACGGCAGAATAGCCTTTATTCCGTTAACTTCTCTCGGTCTGGTGTGTCCTTGGGCAAATATTCAAATATCAATAAAGAAGGCTTGGATGTATTTAATGCATACCCTCTGATTCGTCCTGTAGAAAGAGGTTTACCGCAAGCCATAACCACGGCGATGCGAATTATTATTATTATTACAGAAATAATTTTATAATCATTATTGTAACGACTAATATTGACACCAGTCACTATTTTAATAAACCCTAACGATGTGTCTTAGAGCTACCCGAGAGTAGAAAAGAACGAACATTTCGAAATGTAGGCTACAGGCTTGTTTTTTCTTTTCGCTAAGGAATTTGTGACACCAGGCCAAGTTATAGGCAGCCTATATAGTATATAAACGGTGCTTTTTAAATATTCTCCCAGCTAACCTCAGCTGTGAATGTCTTTATCAATATAAAAGTCGACTAAAGTAGTCTATTACAAAGGAGTAAACGGGCAAGAAAGCGAGCAATTGAGGAAAAGCCGATGCTGAGAAAAAGACGAAATGGTGGTTGTAGGTGAGGATAGAAATGACCCCATAAAACAATACCCTCGGACATGAAACTCATTTGACCAACTGCGCTTTGAGCTATACAAGAGTTGCGTGGACTTAAATGATAAAATCCTGGCGAGATGTCTCGACTTGTTTGAGTAAGAACAGAAGCGTAAGTGACAACTCCTAAAGACGCGGTCTCAAACGTCTCGTCATTGCACGTGCTATTGGCGCCCCCGCTCGGGCGGGAACGTTTGGAGAAGTTTCTCTTAAAGGGGAGGACAGGAGGATTTAAGGTGGAATGAAGAAATAACACCCAGCGATCTTGACCCCCGGTAAACCATGGTACTAATTAAATAATGAATGAATATTTGGCTAATTTCTCCCAAGGCAGCTTTATTTTGATTATGGTAAAAAAATTGGGTTTCCCTAAAACTGCAAAACATATTTTTGCTTTATCGTTAAGGCAAAGTTGGGAAAACACAGTCTCTTTCTCTTTCACGTTTTATGTTATAGGCCTAAAATATTATAAAATAAAATGATAAAAAGTTTTTATAGGAAGCGGTTTCCGACGTACATGCTTGTAAATGTTATATAGCCTAGTATAAAAGACATGCTCTGTGTTTAAAAATAAGGAAATAATTGTGTTTTCTGGAGGGAAAAAAGAAAGAAACGATGAAGAAACGGAGGTTTGGCTTTTTTGGCGTATACTTCCTTTTTATTATTATTATTTATTTATGTATTTTTAATTTAATATCTGCTATTTTCTTCTATTATTCCATTAATGCGTGTGATTGACCTATGGCACGTGAAACGTATTATAGGCTACTAATAGTACGGTTCTATGTAGGCTACTTGAAGTGAAGACGCAAAACAAATTAAGTGAAAACGCACGGTGAATTTCCGATTCTAGCAGTCGGTGGAGTTTTGGTGGAGATTGTTCAGTAGGCCAGTATACTTTTCTCCCAAAAACCAAGTAAGGTCTCACAAATCAGGTTTATGCGAAGGTTGCTTAAGTGGTAACATCATTCCTCCTGGGACTGGGGAAAAATAGAAGCATGTAACTCTTGCCAAGGAGCCAAAGAAAATGGCGAATAATGGAGAAGTATAGAATTAACCTTATGCTTTCATCCGAGAAAAATAAAAACCTTACTTGGTGTACTTGGTGTGGAAGTCATCCAGAAATAGATTGGCCTACAGAACAGTGGTAATAAAGAATGAAGCCTAGCCTATCTGATCTTTTCTATTTCCCGTTCTCCCTCTGGTCCTTGTTGGCCATTCATCCAAATGTTGGTATCTTTTTTTTTTTTAAATAAAGATAATGCATGAAGGAAGAGGAAGGAGAAGCCACATGACCAGAGACCAGGAGCTAATATATGTGAAATCGATATTTTAACACTGGTTATTGAGTACTGGGACAGAGCTAAAAAGAAAAAAAAAAGAGGTAAAAAATAAAGAAATAGACGAAAATGTAGCAAGGAATTATATATTAAACATTTTGTGTTTGTATATAATTTGACAGTACACTGAGTAATGGTGAAGGATTCATTTAAGTTGCAGCTTATTATTTATGCAGGATTTACTTGTCACGTCAATAACGAGGAGCAGGCCTCAAATTTTAAGTTAACGAGCTTTATTTTTTTGAGCAGTGAACTGCGTTTCCGAAACTGCTCTGATCAAGCCAGTATTTAGAATTTAGAACTCGTCTATTATCTAAGAAACGGGCGCGTCGATGTGACATTTGACCCTGGCCTTTAAAAATCGTAGATAATAGCCTACATGTTATAGTATCGCATTTTACGTTCTCAAATTCCAGTTTAGCGTATACTATTTATTTTTAATTATTATAACCATTTCCCGTGTCCACCTATAAGATATTGTTGCCTGTTGATCAGGTGCTGCATTTGTGACTTGGGTGGTGAGATGAGCAAACTCTTAAGAATCTATTCTCTCAGCTGTTGTCTTCTTAAACACATTACTAACCTCCAAAAAGCCAGAAGAGAGTCCATGCACGAATTTCTCATGTTCCCATTGTGCATGAATTACGTAGTCTGAGCGCTTACTACATTCGCTGAGATTGGTGTTACCAGTACTAGGCGCCATTTACATTGTTTTTAGCGAATGAAAGATAAACATACAAACCACTCAACATACTGGACCGTGTTAAGCTCCCATATCACGTCCGTTTCACAACATGTTTTCCGGAATTTTGACGCCAGTTTTATAGATGCCTTTTCAATGTTGCTTCAGGTAAATCATGATCCAGGTAGTTCCCGCGCAGCCTACTTTTCATTCGAGAATAAATTAACCTAAATATGGCGTCTACTCTGCATAAGGTCATTAAGCCATATACTCCTTAATTTGTTAAAATAACAATACTCTGCTCATAGGCCTATATGCAGACCTGTGCTATACGATTTCATAATGGTTCATTCCGTGCGTTTTCTTTTTTCTTTTGTAAAATGTAAAAGGTGTTTTACATTTAAGCAATAAACGTTTATTAACTGAGTAAAACTGTAAAATGGCACGCATTCTAATGACCAAGCTTTCATAAAATGAAAGCCAATTCTCTGCGTGACTCAGGAAAGACCATATAAACATTATAAAAAGAGCAGACAACATGACGAGACGTTGCACCGTAAATTGCAGACAAAGTGCTTTATTGTTTTGAGCAATGCTTATGGAATGGAGTGTATATCGGTTTACATCATAACACATGAGACAGCCACCCTTTGGTTACTCAAAAACAACTTTACAAAAAAAAACAACTCAAATCTGTGAGTGTGATGCAGATAACCAGCGCTTCCCCATCACTTCTATTACCTTCACTATATAGATTAAAACCGTCACAAACGAGGGGTTAAACCCCCCCCCAAAAGCTTCAGTGATGAGTTATCCATCAATGAACACACTGAGCAAAAATGCTTTTGGCAAATGAAGAACATGGTGGAGGGCTTTTTTTAAAAGGCGTGAAGTGAAGCTGTATCTTACTGTAGCACTTTTCACATTTAGTGAATTTCACGTATATATCGCTGCGTGTGAATCCAGTATCAGAAGCTGAAGCGATGCTCAGATGACACTATCAAAGTCTGCCGCTAAAACTGCCTCTTTTGTCATGCACATGGTGAGTTTTTTTTGTTGTTGTGAATATTACAACCAAGAAGACCAGGGTTTGTTTTCATCCCAATGAGAACAATAAAAATGCTTCTTTTCCCACTGTGCAATGGTTTCCCAAGGGCACGAGCAGCGCTCAGTTTATTATGAAAATGACACACTAACCAAGGACGCTGTAACATTTGGTATCGGATAATACTTCCAGATAAAAATGCTTGGAGAAAGCCTGAACACAATTTACAATTAACACTATAACAAGAGCCACACCTACTCATATCAACAAATTCACAATGCACACTCTTGTCCAAAAGGCTTTGCACATAGAATTAGCCAGTCAAAGAGAAATGGTGACCTTTTCAGTGTTGTTGTGAACAGAAAATGCAATGTCTTGTATCCGTTTGAAGCAACAGCACATTTTGAAACATCAAAACACACACAAAAAAAAAAAAAACTGAAAATATCTGGATTTTTTTTTTCAACAACCACCCTAATATTAGAAAATAAAATTTTACTTCTGTTTGGAGGGAAAAAAAGATTAAAAAATAAGGAATTAAACAATTTTGAGTAAAAAGGCACGACTCTTGCACAGTATATACATTAAAAAAAAAAAATATGACCAAGCATGGAATATACACCATCTCTGGACTAAACCAGACTGAACACTAAAAATAATGCAACATGCATCTTTTTGTCTTTTTCCTTTCTTTTTTACACAGTACTTGTGTTGTATGATTTAAAAGAGCAACATTCTTCATTTATCAGAACACTTTTACTGAATCACGGAGTGGTGCTTTAAAATTCTGGTGGATTAAAATTCAATGTAAAAACGTGCAAGTGATCAAAAAGTATAAACCAACATAGGATGAGGAGGCTTTCATCTTTGAATTAGAAAAGTTAAGAAACAAATGTTAATCTCTAAGTCATATTACCTGCTTCTAATTCAATGCCATTTACAAAAGTATTCTCCTCTGTTACAGGCATTATGCTTCCCTTGTAAATACCACTGCTGAACCAACAGGATTCCATCAACATTTTGGTTCCATTCATCATGTGCAAAATGTACAACATTTAATCTATTTTGCTGCCAATTTGAACGTTCAAAATTTCGAACAAAACTCACAAGACATACACAATTTCAAACAAAACTAATGTTTTAAAAAAATGAATAAGAAAAAAAAAAAAAAAACAATAAAGAACCCCTTCCCCAAACCTCCATGGAATACTGAAACGCAACACAAATCGGTGTGTCCTGGTACAATGCAAGAGGTAAACTATGTTTTGTCTGTTGAGAACAAGCGTATGCGTGAGAACACGTGAAACGGCAAGGCTGCGTTGAACAGTGCCTCATAGTGCTATCGTTGCAGCTTGTAACAGACCGAGTGATCCTAATAAAAAGTGCAACAGTTTAAGGTGCTGATGGTAATTGAATCATTAATGTAACAGAAATCACTGATGACTGAAGAGAAACCACTGATCCTGCTGCCTCAGTGTCTTCATTCTCCCTCCTGTCAAGTTGCTGCAAAACAAACTCCAAAAAAAACCCAAACCAAAAAAAAAACCTACCGGAAACCTTCGCCACCGTTTCAAACGCCTCAGAACACTGAAGGAACATGCAAAACAGTCAGATTCAGCTGTCTGTCCACACAAGGCAAGTTAGGGGGCGATGGGTCCTCCTTTTGTAAATGGCTCAAAGAGTGTTTCTGGTTAGTCTGTCCAGATAATGAAGAGGACTGTGCGAGTAAGGAGAGTTAGCAGGTGCCGTGGTGTCAAGTGCTTCAGGTGCCTCTCTGCGAAGCTGGAGTAAAGCAGAGCGGGCAGCCAAGGGTTGAGTGAAGTGAGTCCGGCTAGGGATTTGATGAATGATTCAGTGAGAGAACGCATACAGTTCCAATTGAGAAGTTGTGTTTTGGCCTCCTTTTTCAAAGACCTAATTCTACTAACTGAGCCACAGACCATCACATGAGCTCTCTTTCCTCTCTCCGTCCTCTTCCGCTTTAAAAGGCAAGAAAAATATCAAATGGAACAAACAAGATTAAGGGGCATGCACAAGAAAGCAGTAAAAAGCCCTATCCCCCCCAAAAAAAGTTACAACTGCTGTCCTTTTCCATCACTCACATGGTCCCACAAAACAAAAAGACAAATAAATGAAAATCCAAATGTAAACGAATGGTGGTTGTAGCTGCTGTAGGGGTGCCCCCCTGTGGCAGAGCAGGCGAGTGAGTGTTCAACACCCCTCTGCTGGCGTCCCTCTTCATCCCTGTGGACTCAGCTCAGTTGCCTCAGACTAGGGCAGAATGGTAGTGATGAAATCATAGAATCTCTTCGAGTACTGCTCTGGGTTCACGGTGGAAATCTCTGCCCCAGCCTAAGATGAAAACAGCATGAGGTCGATGCCTTGATAAAAGCTATAAAAGGTTCACTTTAGAGCATGAATGATGAATGAGATGCTTGGGAGAAATACGCAAAGTAGCCCTCTGTACTGTACTCTTGGTACAAGTTCAAAAATGTAGAGGTAATTCTAGAAGTATTTTTTTATTATTTGAGAATGTTTCTTCTGCAGAAAAATAAACTTGTCGATTGACCATATACTGTGCAAAACTGTAAATGGTTTAACATTCACATTACATGTAATTTCACTGTAAAAGACAATTAAATTAATGTTTTTTGGAAGTAAAAACTATGTACTGTCATATAATTTATGGTGAACAGTAAAAAGACATGCCCAGAAGTCCCTGTGTGACACATCACATATGATTATATTTTATTTAAATAGGCTTGTTTCTTCATATGTTTGTTATCAGTCATGTACATTGTGTTTCGGGTTACATTTTGTGTTATTTAGTTTAGATTTATTGCATTATTTTTAATTATGCGTTTGGTGTTACATTTTCTGTTATTTAGTTTGTCTATTGCATTATTTTTTAATTATGTGTGTTCCTCTGATTGTTTTTTGTCTTTGAGGGTATGACCATGTGCACCGCCTATACATGACTATTGGTCATATTCATCATGTGGCTTTCTGTTTTCCCACCTGTATTATTATGGTAGTTATTGGTACATTTTAAGGTAAAAACTAATTTTGGTATTTTTAAGTACATTGGTATATTAACTTGGTTATTATATAACTTATTGAAATACATGGTTATAAGTTGTATACAGGCACCAATATACCATGCCATAATACTGGAAACATTGTCACAGTATTTTTTACGGTGAACAGTTTTTTAGAGTAAATTTAACAGAATTATTTTACAGTGATATAACTCTGAATATTCAGAAAAATTACATTTAAATGTAAAAGTCAAAGCACTCACCCCATGCTTTACCGTCTTGGCTGCATGAGCAGCCTTTTTCTTGGCATCATAATGCTGGAGGATGTCAATAACAGCCATAAAATAGACCTCCTTTCTGGGAGAATCTGGGGGAAAAAAACTTAACATTCATCATTTATGAAAACAGAGCTCACCACAAATTTTCATGATGTGACATATTATAGAAACAGTATACTCAGCAGGAAAAAAGTAGGATGGGTCTTAGCTTATCAATCAAGAAGTTATTGGATTGTGGAAGGAGCCCACTTCGTACCAAAATGGAGGCAGAATGGGATGTTTGACTATAAAAATTATTTTCACCACCTACCTCTCTTGATGACATCATCCAAGGAGGAAACACATCAAATTTTAATACAAGCTTTTATTTTAAGAATATCATGCATGGATGAATTGTTCACAATAACCACAGGGACATACATTAAAAGCCAATTTTGATTTCATGCTGACTTTAACTCTTTCCCTGCCAGCATTTTTGATCATTTTCAATCAAATTTCATGGCCCCCAGAATATTTTGTTGTATGAATATCTGAACATATGAATATCTGAACATTGAAACTGAAAGCAACATTTTGAGCAAAAAGCAAAGAAAAATCATGGTTGGGTCAAAACAGCCCAATAGCTGGCTTTGTCCCTTTTTAACCCAGCATTGTTTAGAGTGTATATCTGGATCATATTCAATACGATGATCAAAGCAAAGATGTAGTAGAACGCTTCCATCAGCACCCCCCCCCAAGCTTGCACAGTCATAAACCACTTCCTGGATCTACATTTCACTCTGTAACATTAGGCAGATCGATGATCACATTATTTTTCATATGCATCTGCTTATATATGAGATTGCTCGTTTCTGTGTCTTCCTCGCCTGTGTTTTTGATTGGGAGAATCTGGACTCATTCAGAATCTCCCCCAGCGTATAAAAGTAAAAATGCAGAAACCCGGAAAATTCTGTGTTTGGCAGGGAAGCCTTGTCTCATAAATAATTAAAAGATTCCGAAAGATTCCATGAAAGACTTAGTATATATGTTCAAAAGTGTATAAATATATACGCACAGGACCCATTTCAATAAGACGACACACGTTTCCTGCTCCACTCACTGTCATGGCTTTTGATGGCATAGACGTCAATACAGGGGTCGAAGTCTCCCGGTGAGAGTGGTTTAGCGCTGTCCAGAGTGTTACTGGGACTGTCAGGAGGAGTGCCGACAATCCCTCCATCACTCTCTCCTTCCTCTTCTCCCTCATTATCCTCACTCTCCACCTCCTCTTGTTCTGCCCTTTCCACGTCATGGATCCCAACCAGAAGGCTGTAGTCCATCAACTTCAGCAAAGCAAGGAACTAGACAGAGATATGAGGGAGGAAAAAACAGATTGATCATAGAGAGAAAGAGGAAGGGACAAAGTGATTATTCAAGATAAATGAGTCATTGTATCCGTACCAGGCAGACAGAGTGAAAAAGTGAATTCTTCAAAATCATTTACCTCCACGTCCTTTCGTAGCTTATCAAGGAAGGTCTTCTTACTCTCCTCATCAATGTATATTTTCTGTCCATCGTTGATAAAGTCATTGTCTTTGTACGTGGGGAGTTCTTTAGCCTGGTGGAAAAGAGGGAAACAACATTTAGGGTGCTAAAGATGCTCACTTACACTTGCAGACTCTTTTAAGGGCTTAAAAAGAGGTTGATCATTAACATGAAAATGAATTCAGGTCCTGACATGCTGGTCATGTCATGTAATATCACACGGCGCAGCAGGGGGTGCTCTAGATTCATAAGAAAAAACCTGCATGTAGTGTCAAGGGACTCCTCAAATGAACAAACCAGTCAATAACCTAACTAGCTGATCTACATTTGTGTTTAGAGATATTCAGAACGGCCTACAAAAGAAATGAGCTTTCATATACAGCATTTATGATTTATGTAACTACAATGCATTGACATCATAACAATCCGGCACAACTCAATATGAACTCAGCTTTAAGTAATTACTCACTATTCAATAATTAAGTAATACATTTTTATGGCTTGTTTGAACTATTGAAAAGGAATGCAGGTTAAAATATTTCCTCTTGGGTGGTTTAAACCACCAGAATGAACCGACTCCAGCAATTCTGTGTAATTAGCTTATTTGGTATCCTTGCTCCAGACTCCAGTAAAAAAAACCTTATTAATGGACTTTAACAACCATTTGCAGATTTCCCAACTTTCAAAAGCAAACACACCTATCATATTATTGCGAAATCTTGTTAATAGATAGCAAAAGTGCGCCCTTTTGGTGGGTTGAAGAGCAATAGGAATAGGTTTGGTCAAGGAAAGCACCTTAAGTAAACAGATATCTATGGGAGGGCACTGATGAAATGGTTTGCATCCATTAAAGATTAATACACATTCCTTATTTTCTTTAACCTCTACTCTCCAAACACATGTCAAATAGCCCAATTTTTTATGAGCTAACCATGTCCTGACAAATAAAATACATCAAATATCCTGTTTCACTTTAAAAGTGAAGTAATAGACTTGCAAAAAAAGGTACAAAAGTGCCACTGGGGCAGTACCCTTCAAAAGGCACTAATATGTAAAGTATTCATATGTAATTTTAAAGTACTAATATGTATCTTTAAGGTATTAATATGGGTGAATAAGGTACAAAGATGTACCTTTTAGTTTTAGTTTTTAGTGTGCCAGAGTGTAGGCAGCCATGGAGCGAAAGGAGACATTTTTAACCTGCTGGAGGATTGAATTACATAGTATATGCCAGCATAGTTCATTTGTTTCTTAATGCCATGCCAGCTTCTACTGCTATTTTCATGTTGAAAACATAGAAACATTTTTTCTAGGCTACAATTTCAATTTGTTTATTGTGAAATAACTCAAACATTTATGTTTTTTTTTCTGTCCTCTGATAAGCATTGTTCAGTGCTGCCATTCCCAAAAGCTTTAATGCTTTCTTATGATACTTTTGGGAAACGCAGCCCTGTTTGAATGCACTGTCAGCAGTGAGTGAATGCTCTCTGTGATTGATCGGTTCTGTCTTGCAACATTTGCGTGTGTTCAGATGAGCAGGAATCCTACACAATTACTCGCTAACAAAGGTTATTCGTCCAATTCAATGCATATTGTACGCATTATTATTATTATTATTATTTTTGTTAAATAAACAAAACCACTGGTAAATGTATCCTTGTTTACAATCTTAGTTTCTCTCAAATGTAAATCAAATGCCCATTCACAAACATGTGTTTCCACCATTGCTTGTTCTCCATCGTTGCATAGGCCCACTCATGGATGAATTTTATATAATCAATGAACTAAACGGCCGCGCGGCGCGAGCTCACTAGAGCAGATGCGTTTACTCGCTCACGCGAGCTCTTAGCAGCGCTGTGAGATCCAGTGTGAAGCGCTTGAATTCAGCGATGAACACAAATAACTCGGTGATTTAAACTAGTTTAAAGCCAAACAGGAGAAACACTGTGTGCAACGAACGAGACGGGCAGAAGGCTTTTCAATCTACACATCGCCATCATTTACCATGGATTTACTGTAGTAACAGTCACTGCACCATGGTATTGTGGCACAAATGTGGGCACAAATGTGGAATATTCACATTCAATTTTATTACAGGAGTAATGGTATATAATTATAGTATGTATTTATGATTAAGCTATAGCATGTGTGCATTTATACTGAATGTTTTTAGACTACTGTTTTTCATACAGGCTACCTAAAAACCATATAGTTATATTTTACCACGGTATTGAGGTGCTATATGTGTGGTTTTAACTGTTTATCATGATTTAAATGTATGCTACTATGGAAGACCAATGCTTAATTTAAAAAAAAACGGTCAGAATAAATGTAACCATATAAAACTTAGGGTTGCTACAATTTTTACAGATGTTACTGATTTTGATAATGAACAAAAATTTACCTCTGCATCCTAACTCAAGCTACTATCAAACTATACTAAGAGACAAAAAAGTGATATTATTATTATTAATATTATCAGGCAACCCAAACCTGTTTCTTGATTTGAAACAATATCACTCATTAGAACACGCAGAAACTAAGAAATAATTTTTTCCATTTAGATATTTATTTTAAGGAAAATTAATGGTCTGGTTTATACAACTTTCACTGTGGAGCAAAAATCTGGCTTTAAACTTGAAAGAAACAAAGATTTGACATTTATCGTGATAATTTTTTTGGCCATATCGCCCAGCCCTACTTACAGGTTGTGATTCAGTGGAGCCAGCTAGTCCAAATAAACTGGGTACTGAGCCATATTTCAAGAGCAAGTGTTTTGTGAATTCCGCGTTGAACTCCCCGAGATTAAAGAAGCAGTTGTCAGTAAAATGACATGTTTGTGGGCGCGTCAAGTTGTTCGCGGCCGGCCAAAGTAGAACATAGGCGGGCATTATGCAAATGTGTTACCCTGTGACGTGTAGCCGTCAGGGAAGTGGGATTCGAATGACTAAAGACTTGTTCAGGCTGTTCAGAGTCATGAAAGGCAATATTCGAAATGGCATAATGGGGGCACTTTAACTTATTTAAGTAGGATTACTTATACTTATTACTATACATACACACACACATTTTTTAGTTGAAAAAAAAATACACCATACATGACTATGCAAAATAATACTTAATAATATGCAAGTAGAAATGTAGACATGTGAAATTACAAGCATTCATAGCTAACTTAACATATTTCTTCTTTGTTAAGTTCTAGTACCTTGTGTTGACTAGCAGGCAAACATTCCAACCACTGTTATTAAATCAACCGTTTTATTTACGGTGCCAGTGTTGATGCTACTGAAGCTTACAGTCTCTTGCCTTAATCTCCATAGCTTAAAAAAGCACCATGGACTCTGCTTCACCTTGACACCCTAAGTATAGGATAGATCTACATCTGTGCACCCGATAATCACACAGACGCTCTAAATCCAGCACGCCTCACTCTCATACTCGCACTCTGCTTCACAGTAAATTAAGGTGCTTGAAGTGAAAAATGATTAGCCACTACAGAATGAACCATCTTCAAACACGCAAGTAAAGAGACCTGACATACAATACACTCGACACACAAAAAAACGGACAAAAAATGATCGGAAAAGCAATACAAGTGAAAATTTGAAACTTTCACATCAAAATTGTGTGTTTGAGGGTGAAACTGACCTTTTCTTTATCACTTGCCTCTCTGGCAACAGTAGATCCCTACAGTGAAGAAAAATTGAAACATGTCAAACCATATCATAATCATCATCTGGTTTGACTTGGCCTGCCATTTTTCATAATCCTTACCTTCAGGTCATATTTCTTATACACCGACAACCGGTGACTGAACACGTTGCGTGTGACTATCATATAAGTCTCATCTCCGTCTACAGTGAGGCGGTACATGCCTAAAAACTGTGGCAGCAGTGTGGTACCATGACATTCCACTATATACTGCAGCGAAAAAAGACATTATAACCATCCAGCTCACTAGAAATGTGTAAGTAAATGTACAAATTATGGGTAAAACATCAATTAAAGGTATACACCACTTGCATGGGGAATGTATGAGCTTGTGTCGCACCTGGTGGTACTTTTTGAGGATGTTGTGCATCTCAGCCACGTCCTCGCTGCTTATGGTTTTGATGACGTACCTCTTGTCGTAGGAGGTGTGGAAGCGAGCACCACTACGGCCCTGAGCTTCACTAACGAGGGGCGCGCTGCGTGTCAAAGAGTTCTGCCAACGCACATGGGAAAGAGGTCTTAGCACACATAATAAATGCACACAAAGATGGATGAGACTAAGTGAGACTTTTTAACACTTTCATACTGTATACTGGGAGACTCATTTATACACAGAAGGGAGATTTCTACACCTCCATCACACCGAATTAGAAATGAATGATAATTTAAAGCATAAAGGCTCTTTTCATTCATTATTTTCTTAACTTCGCAAATATTTACTCATTTTCTTTAAGCACACCAACGTTCATTAACAACTGATTAATACCGTAAAATTGTGGATCTAAAAAGCACAAATTCCCTCCCTTTTCCACCCAATCTGGCACTGTTACACATGCTAATGTAAAAGGCCATTCTAAGCCAGAAAAATCAGCCCGCATTTGCCCCTTGAACCTGCTGGTTTCAATCCAAGAACCACTAATGCCATTATCCAGGAAGCATGATAAATGAAATCACTAGAAATGTTTTCAAAACAAAAACAACTCAATTTGGCTAGGCCAATGCAAAAAAAAAAAAAATTCCTATCAATGAAGCTATC